GATTTATTTCTCAGCTGTTTACCTTCAACATAACCGACTGTTGTTTTTGTAACTCGTGTGTTTTTAACGTAAACTTGTGTGTGAATGAGAACTTAGTTTAGTACTCACATGCTGTGACAGCCGCTTTCTGTCCGTGTGCTTCGGATGTGTGCGCTCAGAAAAACGTATATCTGAAGTTTGAACTCATATGGTTTAAAACGCATGATTTCAGCGTGATAAACATGATAATCAGAACCAAAACAGATTTTTTTAGCAGGTACCAGCTGTAATGGCGCAGCTCTATTCTGGAAAAGGGGGCGGGGAGAAGCAGCTCATTTGCATTTAAAGACACAGGCCCGAAAAACAGCTTGTTTCTGCTTCCACTCAAAATAGGCATTTTCAAAATTATATAATAAATGATCTGTGGAGTATTTTGAGCTGAAACTTCACAGACACATTCTGGGGACACCAGAGACTTATATTACATATTGTAAAAAGGGGCATAATATGTCACCTTTAAATAATTTATAATTACCTTTCAGACATCCAATGAAGTCTCTAATTTTACATTTAAATATTAAGCTTAATAAACCTGATTTGTGGAATATGTCCGCAGTGGAGTGAATAACATGCTTGTTTTTCCTATTATTTGTTTATTTATTTTTGGAATGATTCCATTCCAGTTGGATTTATCTATATACACTACTGTTCAGAAGTTTAAGGTCAGTAAGATTTTTATTTTTACTTTATTGAAAGAAATGATTTTTTTTTTCAGCAAGCCTGCATTAAATTGATCAAAAGTGACAGTAAAGACTTTTACATTGTAACTTCTACTTCAAATAAATGCGGTTCTTTTATTCATCAAAGAAAAAAACTTATCATGGTTTTTACAAAAATGTTAAGCAGTACAACTGTTTTCAACATTGATAATAATAATAAATGTTTCTTAAGCAACAAATCAGATTATTAGAATATTTCTGAAGGATCATGTGACACTGAAATTACATTTTAAAATATATTAAAATAAGTTATTTTAACAACATTTCACAATATTACTGTTTTTACTGTATTTTGTATCAAATAAATGCAGCTTTAGTGAGCTTAATTGACTTTTTTACTGACCTCAAACTCTTGATTGGTAGTGTACAGTATATAGTTTTTAAGTAGCCTACAGAAATGGTTTACAAGCATGTGCTGACCTTTAATAAGAATTTCTATTAGAAAATAACTGATGGATGCTATTTTTTTAACCCAAAGGAAGGCACCACTGGTTTTCTGTGGCCTAAAATGCATTGACAAATAAACAAGCTAACAAAAAAAATAACAACACATTATTAAATGATTATTTTAAATAATGTTATATCAATATCTATTCCATTATTTGGTCTACAGACCTCTTGCTATGACAAAATATATATGTGCCAAGTCTGCATTTTGGATCAGTAACCAGTGCTTGAATTAAAAATATTGACTTATATAACTATTCATGATTTCTAAAATACCACTATAAACAGAAACCGGTCTACCTCAGACACACCCTACAGTATGTGCCGGAACTATCTTTGCCAGGTGCTTCATGACATACTGAATGACTAATAATCTTTCAGTTTGAACAGTTCCTATCTAAATGATTCTGACATTCTTATTTATTTTTGTACATTAACCTTCCCTTGATCCTCCACCTTTTTGATGGCTGCCTGAATTTTGGCCTGGTTGCCCAGAAGCTGACGGGGCTTGACCGGTCGAAGATCTTCATCCAGCTCCAGCAAGACTGGTACACCTGTGGGCAGCGTTACATTCACAATTTCTGTTTCTGATATATCTGTTGAGAAAGACAGCAAAAGTGTGTAATTAGAATATTGAAATTGTTAACTTCATTAGTACTACTGTCCACTTTCTATGCTTTATTATTGATCATATTTAAAAATGAGCTCTTTATTATATTAAAGAAAACAGACTGAAGAGCAAGTCAGTCTTTTATAGCCTGTATCTGGTATTATTGTTTGTTTGTTTTATAAAAAAAAAAAGGAAGTTATGTTTAGGACATACTGTAGATGGTACATTTAAAAGTTTGGGATCTGTAACTTTTTTAAAAATGTTTTTGAAATAAGTCTCACCAAGGCAGAATTTAATTTATTAAAAATACAGTAAAAACAGTAATATTGAGAAATTTTATTACAATTTGAAATAACTGTTTACTATTTTAATATATTTTTAAATGGAACCTATTTCTGTGACGCAAAGCTGCATTTTCAGCATCATTACTCCAGTCTTCAGTGTCACATGATCCTTCAGAAATCATTCTAATATGCTGATTTGTTGCTCAAGAAACATTTCTTATATTTTTATCAATGTTGAAAACAATTGTGCTGCTAAATATTTTTTTGGAAACAATTTTTCTTAGGATTCTTTGAGGAATATTGAGCATTAATCTTAAAATACTACTTTTGCAACATTATACATGTCACTTTTGACCCCTTTTGATCATCTTCCAAGTGCTTGAAGGTCGAGAGTTATAGTCGATAGTACCCATGTAATTTTAACTGAGCGGCCTTTAGAAGATTTATATAACTTAGTTTTAATGGGTTTGAGAAGATATTTTTAAAAGAAGATATTTTAAAGAATGTTTCAGCTGTTTTTATTCATAAAATGAAACTCAGTGGGGTTCAAAACAACACTGGACCGCATTGACTTTGATTGTATGGACCAAAAATAAACAACAACAACACAAATAATTAAACCAATAAATAAATAAAAATAATAATCTTTTTTTTGCATTCCACAGAAGAAAAAAGTCAGCAAACGACATGAAGGTGAGTAAATGAAAACAGAATTTTCACAGAAAATTGAAAACAATAAATATATTTCACCTTCCAAATGTTTAAGCAATGCCCTGCAGCTGTTGCCATGTGCAGAGATGAGGACCGTTTGGCCACTCTCGATCACCGGTACAATGACATCATTCCAGTAAGGAAGAAGTCTGTCCAACACTTCCTTTAGACTTTCTGTTTTGGGCAGTTCCTCTTTCGGAACGTCGCACGTACTGTATCGGCGGTCATTGTAAATTTCCGCATAATAGGGATGTGTCTCATCAATGGGGGGTGGTGTGATGTCATAGCTACGCCTCCACAGTTTAACCTGTTCCTCACCATGGTTCAACGCTATCTCAGCGCGATTGAGGCCGATCAGGGCACCGTAATGCCGCTCGTTTAACCTCCAGGATTTGGTGACTGGGACCCACTCTTGTCCCATGGCCTCCAGCACCAACCAGGCCGTCTGGATGGAACGACTCAATATGGAGGTAAAAACCTGGTCGAATTGGTAGCCCTGCTCTTTCAGAAGCCTGCCACACTCTTGGGCTTCCACCACCCCGTTCTCACTCAGTTTCTGATCAACCCAGCTGCAGAAGCGGTTCTCTTTGTTCCAGGCCCCCTCCCCATGTCGGAGAAGGAAGAGTTTGCATTTGGACATCCTGAAGAAGCAGTACGGAAGCCTGAAAGAGATGCATATGCAGATATATATACTATATAGCAAATATTTCAACTGCTTATATAGCAGCTTTAATTGCTGTTATATAATTGCAAAATGTAAACTACATTATCACCTCTAAGGATATTATAAACATTAACCTCATGATTTTCTGTAAAGCTGCTTTACACACACATGTATGTATGTATGTATATATATATATATTTATTTATTTATTTAGTCATTTATCAGACGCATTTATCCAAAGCGTAATTATTATTATATTATTATATATTTAATATATATAACCAAACTGGAGAACAGAACTGAAAGGTTAAGGGTCATGAACTAAATGTCAATGCTAATTTAACAAATGCTCTGACCAGCTCTGATCTGACCAACTCTTTATTTATAAACGCAAAAATATAATATCGCTTTCACAGGCTAAAATGTATAAGTATCTAATATTAAAGTGAAACTGAAGTGAAAAGAAGCTATGTGTCAAACTACTGTATTATTGTATGTAGGCATGGGCCGGTATGAGATTATGACGGTATGATAACCTTAGATAAAAATATCACAGTTTCACGGTATCACGGTATTGCAATTACAGCTCTAAAATATGTTATTTTTAAATGTCTGGGTAAAAAAACTACTTTTTTTCCCACTGAACACATTTTATTTTTAAGAAACATATAGAACATTTTGGAACAGTAAACATGTCAGGCTAAATAATTAGAATAAATAATTAAATTCTTCTTAATTAAATGCAGTCACTTAAGTGAGCCTAAACCTGCAGCTCAACAATAATCAGAACATAAATAAATTATTTTCTGTAAAAAAAAAAATCCCTATAAATGAAAAAAAAATGCAGTCACTTAAGTGAGCCTAAACCTGCAGCTCAATAATCAAAGATATAATCAAACCATAATTTCAGTTTAAAAAAAAAATGCAGTCATTAAACCTGCAGCTCAACAAGGTTTTTGGAGACATGCTCGCTTTCTACACATTCATCTTTCAGTCCAAGTTATGATGCAGGAATGTTCACCTTTCCCGGATATTGTACTAAATCGCAGGAAAGTAGGCTACAGTACGTACTTTAGACTGCTATTCTTCACTCTGTGAAGTAACGTGAGTGAGGAAACTAGTTGACGTTAGCTAGTTAATTAGCCATGTTATCTGCCTCGGTAGCAAGCCAAATAGTATTTATTTCAACACTGAAACAAACGGCGGGTGGGTCTCTGTCTTGATCGGGGGTGAAAGATGACACAGATATATAGTTTATGTTCGAAAGATTTTATGTTGGAAGTATTTATTTAGCGATCGGCGCT